TTTCACTTATCCTTCTTGCAAATTAATTACATGTCTTTCAATACATGGCGGGTAGGAGGCTGTACTAACGATTCCCACTCTTACTCGCATGCACTTTTCGGTCTGTGTATACAGCTTGGGGATGAAACACAGACTGCATCATGAAATGTTCTCTTGCACATGACATTTAACTCCAATCTTTTTCTCCACTATTCAGCCCCTTAGCTTGTTTGGTTCTCAGGGCCGCTTTCCCGCCAAAAAATTTGCATATTTTTTTAAAGCGTCCGTACGCGGCGCCCAGGCGTCCGCGAGGGATGAAATTAAAATGGGAGGGTCGCGCATGATATAGGCACATAGTCCCAAAGTTTCAGTCTTCTAGCTTTTCTGTTTCTCGAGTTGAAAATGGGTGATAAAAAGTGCGAACACACAGAAACAGACACACACACACACACACACACACAAACATACACACACACATATATACGTAGCCTCTTCCCAATATGCGTTTTTGCAATTTGTATATATGCAAAAACGCATAATAAGACAATGTTCAATCAAATAGGAAACGAACTTGAATTCAGGACACGCTTCTGCACATTCCTCGTGTGTTTGGAAATTATTCGAATTACCGCCCTGGCCACTGTAAACGAAATTAACGCATACTTGAGATTGTGCATTATAATACCATCGGTTGAGAACCGCATTTCCAGTGCCAGTAGACTTCGGCAAGCGGCATGGATCGCCAACTGGAATTTTTATAAATAATACAACGCTAACGAAAAGTTATGCTGATTTTGATCCGGCAGATGCTGATGTATGAGTTTATATGATGCATACTAGAAAAACATTAAGAACAAAAAGCTTGAATTTGATAAATTTGTTTGTTTGGGATTGGGTTTATCTCTAATAACTCGAACTTGACAAATGAAACCGCCGCCAAAAAACGTCAAAAACTTCGTTTTCCACGCAAATAACTATTTGCACATCAGGTTCTTTCAATGTTATCTATGCACGTTTTTTTAAATATCTTTATGTCCCTTTCACTTGTCTCTTTTCCTCCACTTTTTATCCATCAGTAACCACGTGCATAAAAATATACTTATCCTCCACGTGCTAGATTGGCGGTTAAAAAGGTTACTCCAGCTCCCACCCGCATCCACTACTCTGCCTCTGCTTACAGCTAAAGGACAAAACACAGACTGCATACTGACCTATGCTTTGCTACAGGTCGCAAATTCATCCTTGCTGATTTTATATTTCACAAGTTCGAAACACAAACAATAGAAAAGGGATGAGAGAAGCAAATACGGCCAAAAAGGTGTTGTTTTCCTTAAGGAGTCAATTTATCTTTATTCGACGCTTGCTAAATTACTGTAATACATGTTCCCTTCTACCTTTCAAGCTCCGAGATGTTTGAATGTTTTCTCGGCAGCTAGTTTAAATTTCGCACTCATTCCGCATAATCCAGCTGTTCCGCGTCTTATTTGTGTTCGATTGTTTCACTTTTTATTCGTATTTGGCAGTCTTACTAAAAAAGCTAAAAAGAGGACAGTCTGGATACTTACTGGCTGGACAGCAGACAGTTGTCGCAGGTGTCGCGCCAACGTGGCAGTAATAACCAGCAAAACACGTTGTCACTGTGTCTGGGGTACAGTGAACTGGATTACCTTCAGGACCAACAGCTGGAACACCATTCTCGCACGGATTCTCCAACACCGGACACTCTTCCTCACAATCCGTTCTTGACAGGAAGTTGTTCTCAAAAATTAAGAAATGGTGAATACAGGGTCTGGCATGACCAGAACGCAGTTATGTACCCACATTAAAAAGTGATGCAACTATAGAATGCAGGGAAGTCGTCTTTTGCAAATGAAGGGATGGAAAATTTTTCCGAAATCATCGGAAATGTGTCAAGTTATTTACGCGGCGGAAAATTTTTTTCGAATGTAAATAAATAACCCAGGTAGAAACGCATCAGGCTTGCCGGTGCCATCATGCGTTTTTGCGCTAGACTTGAAGTACTCAAGTTATTATGCGTTTTTGCCCATATGCAAATTGCAAAAACGCATATTGAGACGACCCCGTCTGTATGTGTGTATGTATGTGTGTGTATGTGTGTGTGTATGTTTGTGTGTGTGTGTGTTCGCCTGTCCGGGTATTTTAACTCGGCAACCAAGCAAGTTCCAACGCCGAAATTTTGCTAATGGGTACCCCGGCCAAGTACCACCCCAGAACCGCGGTT